TACTAGTTGCAGGCAGTGTGAACAATTTGGAGGTAAAAGACATTAAAACGAAGAATAGACAGCCTCACATTTCACATCAACCTTCAGTGATATTGACTATATAGATTATAAAATAAAATTCAACTTTGTAATTAAATTATGGTCATGTTGCTTTACATTAGATTTCATTTTTCTAATTCGACACAATACGTATATATTATGATTTGGAAATATCCTCGCCACGTGAGATTCGACGATATATAAAATTCTAACTTCGCATGCTGCTTAAAGACGAAAATGTCCCTAAATCTGTATTAAGTAGCGGGAGAATGTGACTGTCCTTTTCCGTCCAACGTAGAAAATTAACGATTTTGTTTCGTTGATACCAAGACGGAGGAAAAAGACACGCACATACCATTCCATCATCTACTTTTTCGTATTTTTATTGTTTTTTCTTTCCATTTTCCCCAAATTGATTTGTTTTTTAAATTAAAACTACAATGACAAACAAAATAATAACTGCTTAATTAAACCAAACAAAAAATTAATATCCGGCTGATTCTATAGTCGGAAAGCCAATCTTCTGTGGTCCAGTCTACCGTAGATCAGAATATGTGCCAACAATTCCCAATTTTAAAAGACTTTAAAAGTTTGTTTTTTTTTATTACAAACAAACAAAAAAATCGATTTAAAATAAACGGCAAAGTTGTTGGTAAATGTCAATTTTTAGCTTTGTCGCAAATAAAGTATATTATTATTTTGGATTATTTGGTTGAATAACCATAAAAAAAAAATTAAACCTACAAACTAACCAAAATAGATATATGTGACAAAATCTCAAACCCTTAAATTTAAGGGTTCTGGTTAGTTTGTAGGTTTTAATTTTTTTTTATGGTAATTCAACCAATTAACCTTATTATTTTTTCTATGAAACACTATATTGTATTGTTTTGCTTGATTAACTTTATTTAACTCTTCTTACAACGAATTCCACGGACAAATAATTTTCTTAACATGAAATAGTTAATAGCTTAATACTTATAAATCAAGTTTATGGCAAAAAAATATGGTGAATAAAAAAAAGGAAGAAAGAAGAGACCCATACATGTAATTTTGGAATAAAGTGATGCAACGGGCTCAACGTTACATCCCCTATCTTTTTTTCTTTCTTTTTTTCTTTCAATATTTTCGTTTCTTTTGTTTTTCGAGTAAAATAAAATAAATATTTATAGATCCACCGACTATCAAGCTAATGTTTTATGTTTATAAATGGTAATTGAAATTTGACAAGTGTATATAACAAACCACACGCTCTCTAGCAAAT